CCCCAAAACCCCAAAACCCCAAAACCCCAAAACCCCTTCAAGGCTAAATATGGTCGGATACCAGATATTAATATTCTTTGGTTCTCCACCCCAAAATTACTCTTTCAAGATTCTTTCTAAGAAGTCGAGCTGGTTTTTCTAAAGATGATAGCTGGATGGGCACTTACAATAATATCTTCCAGATAGAGTCCGTTATTGAACAGATAATGGTTTAATCCTGGCCATTCGGAGTATTCTTTTACTGCAGCAGGAGCTTCTTTGATAATCTTATGACATACTACCCTGCTTACAACATTTTCTTCATCTCCTATTGTGACATGCATGTCAACTGTAAGCTTGTCGATGTTAGCTTGGACTGTCTTTTGGCAGTCGTCAAGAGCAACTAGAGAAGCTGCTGTAGAGTCTATTCAAAAGTTAAATCAAGATTTTATTTTGATGATCAAAGCACTTGCTTTGATATGAACTAAAGTTATTCTTACCTATAATTATTTGTAGAGGGTCATCATAGTAATGCACCATGTGAGGAGCTGGATCCACTGGAGTAGGACATACTGATAGGGTTGGGTAGAATTTAGAAATAGTATTGGCAGCAGCTTGGCATGGATGCTTGACAAAATGATAGCCAGCAAAAGGAGCTAACTGTATCAAAGCTTTAAAAGCATCTGGTCTCTCAACAGTCATACAGTAGGTAGTACCTCCTCCGAGAGAGTATCCTCATCCAATGATAGGGGTTTCCTTATACTCCTCCTTCACAGCATCAAAGTAAGCCCAGGCGTCAGACATATGTTGCTCCTATGATGAAATGTGTCCACGTTGGCCTTTAGTTTTGCCGAATCCTCTATAGTCATATCCAACTACATCATATCCTTCATCAGCAAAGTACTTTGCATAGTATCTGTATTTGCCTGTCCAGCATCTATATCCATGCAAGAGGATCATGACAGCCTTTGGATCACCTTTTGCTGATTTATATCTGTAGTTTGCAAGGCTTATTTCACCGTCTTTGCCATCTACAATAACTTCGAAGGGATTCTCTTCAGGCCAAAAATCTTTCTTCCAGTCAACTGTCTTCTTGTCAAGATCCACGTAGGTAATCATCTTAATAATATTATTTATTGTATCGACTAAGGTGTATTGAGTTGGGGTTTTGGGGTTTTGGGGTTTTGGGGTTTTGGGG